GCCTCAGCCTCCCCAGTAGCTGGGATTACAGGTGTCCACCACTATGCCCAGCTAATTTTTGTATTTTTAGTAGAGATGGGGTTTCACCATGTTGGCCAGGCTGGTCTCAAACTCCCGACCTCATGTGATCCACCTGCCTTGGCCTCCCAAAGTGCTGGGATTACAGGCGTGAGCCACCGAGCCTGACCAAGTAGGATAATTTTCAAGAAAAATATATCAAAATGGACTCTAGAAGAGACAGAAAATCTACAGAGATCAATAACACAGAATAGAGAAAGCTGTCAGAGAGCAAAATTCCCCAAAACATACAGGTTTAAACACTTTCATATGAAGTTCTACCAAATCTTTAAAAAACAGATAATTCAAAAGATAAATTAGTCTTAGCATAGAAAAAGAAAAAAATTTATCTTCTTGAAAACAAAAATTTATCTTTTTGAAACAACCATGACATTGATAAGAAAATCTAACAGACCACACATACAACATCTACAGAAAAACAGCACATGGATATCAATAAAACAAACCCAGGAGTTCATCATTCTATTCTCTCTACTTCTGTAAATGTTTAAGGTCTAGAGATCTATTGCACAACATGAAGAATATACAATAGATAATAAAATTGTACTGTATATGGGATTCATGCTAAATGAGTAGATTTTAGCTGACCTTGCCACAAAAATAAAAAAGGGTGACTAAGTGAGATGATAGATATGTTCATTTGTTTCACTGTAGTAACCTTTTAACTATATGTATCCCATAACATCACGTTGTATACCTTAATTATACACAATAAAATTTATGTATGTATTTACCTATACATGTGCATCCCCCAGGCTGGAGTGCAGTGGCACAAACACAGTTCACTGCAGCTTCAATCTGGGCTCAAGCCATCCTCCTGTCTCAGCCTCCTGAGTAGCTAAGACCCCAGGTGTGTGACACCACCACTCCCGGCTAATTTTTTTTTTTTAAGAGACAGGATCTCGCTATGTTGCCCAGGGCTGACCTCAAACTCCCGATCTCAAGCCATCGTCTGTCTTGGCCTCTCAAAGCACTGGAATTACAGGCACCCGCCTAAGTTTTTTTTTTTTTTTAATTCCATAATAAAAAACTAAAATAAAGACATCTTTAATCAAGGAGAAAAAAATTCTATCTAGATATACCATTTTTTTAACCAATCAAAAGTTTGACAATAATGTAGTGAAGGCATAGGAAGATAGGTACTCTCAGAAACTTCTAGCGAGGGGGAAAACAGACAACCTTTATGGAAAGCAATTGACAATGTTCGTCAAAATTACAAATGCACATACCTGCTGATGTAGCAATCTCACGTTTAGGAATCTGTCCTATATATACACCCGGACATGCATGAAATGACAATGCGTATATTAATTCACTGGAGGGCAGGTTGCCATAGCAAAGACTAGAAACAACCTATTAATTGTAGCCATCAATAGGGAAAGTTGGCTAATAAATTCTAGTACATTCATATAACCAAATTCTCAGAAGACATAAAAAGGAAAAACAAAGTTCTGCAGGTACAGATATACAAAGGTCTGTTTCTAAGGTATTAAGATCAAAAAACAAGGTACAAAGGTATAAACTGTCATTTATGCAAAAAAGGGGAGGCCAGTGGGCACAAGTGGGAAGTAGGCTTTTCTGTGTCCTTTTGCACTTTCTGAATTTGGAACCATGTGACTGTAATCTTAGGCCCAAAATAAAAATCTCATTTTTAAAAATGCCACCATTTGGAATGTACTATTGCCATTATAAATTAAAAATCCATTTAGAACACTTGTTATTCTTGCTATATTTGCTAACTGTGTGGCAGGCTATATTTCAAGTCAAGATGGAGTTCAAGAAACTTTCATTATTTTAAAAAGCATAGAGAAAAATACTGCACATAGATGAAAGGGGGCCAGTAGATCAGACAGATCATCTGATTAATGATGCTTAATCCTGGATATGCTTTAGAATGACAGGGGGATCTCCTAAAAAATACCAATGTTCTGCTCTCCACCCCTAGCACCCCCAGATCATTTACAACAAAAATTCAGAGTATGAGGCCCTGGCCTGAAAACCACTCAAGTAAACGCTTCCAAACAGTGATTCAACAGAAGTCCAGGGGACATTTTGCTCCCCCAGTGGACATTTGGCAATGACTGGAGACATGTTTGGTTGTCACGACTTGGAGTGGGAGGTGCTCATGGCATCTAGTGGGTAGAGGCCTGGGATGTAGCTCAACTTCCCACAGTGCACAAGACAGTTCCTACCAAAATTACCTGGCCTGAAATGGCAAGAGTGCTGAGGCTCAGGAACCCCTGCTTTAAAATAAAATCACTGCTTCTGAAGTAACAACCAGTTTTAGCCTCCACTTTTGAACACGGGAAATAATCTCACTTACTGATGTGTGGTACATTCCCATAAGAAAGCCTATTTACCAAGGTTGTAACAAATTGTGTATATCCTATGTATCTCCTTTCTCTGGTCCCTGTCTAGTTACTCTAGTCAAAATGTATGTCCCATTTGTAAAGTACTCATGGAGAAAGGCATAAAGTTCATAAACTAGTAGCCTGTGGGCCAACTTGATCCATCCATCTATTTTGTTTATGCCAAAGTTCTCTTGAAATATACTGAATTGGTGCCAATCAGCTGCCCCTTTGGAGCTAGCCATATACCAGGGATTTGTCACAGTCCTCCACTCGTTGGCTTCATTCACTTATCCACTGCCCGCTACGTGGTGCTTTCAGCGTCCGAGTTGGCCCTCTCCTGCAGTTTTCTCTAATCATACAGGGGCATGAAGCCTCTTCACTCCTCCTCTCTCCTCACCTTAAAAATATCCCATACCCATTCTGAATTCTCCAACTCCCACATCACTTGCCAAAATAGAACTGCTATGAAGAGACAGAACTAAGAGAAAAGTAGAAGTAGAGATGGACTTTTTGCAACAACTCCCTTCTTTTAGTTGTCCTGTCATTAAAGATAGGCTGATTAGAACCTGATTCATCTCTGGGTGTTACAAACTAGTCTTGCCACTTCTAGCAAATTCCACTACAACTATATCTAGCACTTGAAGGAAACCCTTAAGTTATTATGCTTCTCTCACGACCTTAGTGAATCCCTCCACCCCTCCCAAAATAGATCAGAAGACTTTTATAGGAAATATCTATCAAAAGATTTGGTAGTTTTCTTTTAGAAAGTTCATGCCTTCTCCTTTGAAATCACAATCGTAGAGTGGTGAGCTGTGCTTTTAAAAATCGCCTGATATAATCTACTCATTTTATTAATGAGGAAAATGAACCCCAAGTGAGGTTTGGTCACTTAGTCAAGGGCACATTCTGAGCTAGTGGCAGAGCCAGAATTAGAACATTTGTTTCCAGATACTGGCCCCACAGGTTTTCCATGATAACAATATCCTCCACTGTGGTTTTCCTACTCACATAACATCCTTGCCAAAATACCTATTAACACGGGTAGACACTAGCTGCTATGGAAATCAACTAACCAAAATTTTGGCTGGCTATTGGAGCTATCACTTAAACTTTGAGGGTGGAAAGAACTGGGCGTTTCTGGATTCCTTTTGTTCCTTTTATTGTGAATTATCCTGTCTCAGTTTACACTAATGAAAGGCTGATACCTTCATAATCTTCCCTAAACCTAAAAGATGGAAAACGTGCCTATATTTATAGCAACAGCAACACTTTCTAAACTCCAAAGTCAGAAACTGCCTCAAACCTCTACAGTTCTCAAGACGGTAAGTAAAACTACCAACAGCTTTTGGGAGTGAAGTTTTAAGACACAAAGATCAATGTCTCATTGAACTTTGACTTTCATCATCATTCTCTGGCAAATTGGTTTCTAAAATTTTAATTTGGTCTCAACTTTAACCTATTCCTCTCTTCCTATCCTGGCTTTTCAAAAAAAAAAAAAAAAAGTATGGACATCACTTTTTGCATATCAGGTCTTCCTCAAATGTTCTACCTCCTTGGCACTTTAGTTTTTATGCCCAACTGACACTATCACTGACACCCTTGACATTTACACAAAATTCATTAAATTAACAGACACCCCACAATTTCCCCTCGAGAGCTTAGAACATCTTTGCTGCTGGATTTATTTTCCTTCAGGGATGCTGAGTTCCATTCTGATACCTCAATGCATGCGTTTTACTTTTAGGTGTTTCACAACCAGCTCCTTCGTTTTCTGGGGAAACATGATCCAGTTAACAGAAGGTGGTGGAATCTATTCCCATCTCAGCTAGGCCTGAGGCAGGCTGGGAACCCGGATCTTCTTTGGTCCCACCTCAATCCGTGAAAGCCGCCCACCAGCCCACCGGACGGGGAAATGTGGGTGGGACACCAATGGAGAAGAGAAACGAAAGGTGCTGGCACTAAAGCCAGAGTTGTATTAGACCCTGCTCTGATGCTACGAACCCAAGCGTCCGCTCTTCCCAAGCATCTAAGGCGTCTGCAGTGCAGGCCTCTAACTGCTTTAACATAACCTGATGAAGACAACAGTTCGAGTCCTGCCACTCCAGCCACACAGCAACACCTTAGAGCAGAAAAGGGAAAAAATGCCGTTGCATAATTTATTCAACCTCAAGGTATTTCTAAACAGTTCTTACCCAACCAAAAAAAAAAAAAAATCTAAAAATAAAAACATTAAAAAGCCACCCACGTCTCGTTCTAAAGTTTTAAGGGCTGTGAGGTTTGTGTCAAGTAGATGTGAAGCTAACGATGGCAGGTTTGGGGAGTCTCGCCTGCGATGAGGGTCCTGCAATGAGACGCCGTTTCTGTGTCTCTGGGTAAGTCTCAGGCTGGGTGCGAGGGGGCCAGGCCCTACCCCTCCACGCCCCGAAATCCGAGCCTCAGGAGAGCCCCCCGGATATCCCCTAGCCCCGCCTGCGGTTCCCACGGACTTTACCCCGAAGCTGCGGAGATCTGAGGTGGCAGCCTGAATGGCGGCGGCCCCGGGCCCATGGGAACCCTTGGCCCCGTACTCACCGAAGTCCAGGAACTGTTTGATAGAGAGCGGCGACGGCGAGAAGCGCGAGTAGCGCTCGATCTGCTTGGGCACCGGCTGCTTCAGCAGCCACCGGAACAGCCGCATCCTCGCCGAGGCGGCGCACAGACCCGCCTAGACGCCCGGGTGGCCGCAAGGGCTGGCGCAACCAAGCCGCACGGATAAGGCACGTTTGCTAAGCGCGCACCCCGACCTCGATCTCGGCCTCGGTGCCGCCGGTGCAGCCGCCGCAGCAGCAGCAACAGCTCCCGGACCGCGGCCGGCCGCCCGCGGCTTCCCTAGGCTCCGCCTCGCTGGGCGGAGTCGGTTGCTGCACGTACGCGGCGCGCGAGGGGCGGCGAAGAGCGCGAGGGGCACGCGGCCGCGCGCGCCCTCCACTGATTGGCCGCCGCCGCCTCTGTGACGTTTCTTTTTTTGTCCCGGCGCGGCGCCAGAGCCCCAGCTCTCTGGCTCGTGGAACTCAGCCCAGCCCTGCAAGTGCAGTCGCTCTCGGCTCCGCCCCTGGCTGAGTTCTCCACTGCCGAAAGGTAGCCGAGGTGCCCGCGGACTGGGAAGAGGCCGGGAGACCGGAATCCGATCCTTCCGAGCTGCTCAAGACCCTTCTCAACCGCAGGCGCCTTTTCAGGGAGGAGGACTTGCAGTTCACTGCCTCTTGACACTTAGATTTTACGGCCTAACTAGACTGACTCTGTTTCATGGCCCAGCCCCACCCCCACCTCCCTGCCTCACTCCGGAGACAACACCTTTAGAACACCTTTGGACTGGATTGTTAGGTCGCTGATTCTCTTTTTCGTGGCTCCTTGCCCCTCCTTCCCTCACAAGATTAAGTCACTAATTGCATTTCATGTCCCCCCCCACCACCGTTGGACGGGATCCATTGTGAGGTCAAGGGTCACTAGCATCCCCTACCTCCCCAGTGCCAGTGGACAGGATAATTGCAAGGTCACTGATTCTGTTTCATACCTCCCCCCACTACTACCATTGGAAAGGATCAAATGTAAGGTCACTGACACTTTCTTTCATATGCCTTCTCTACACCACCACCATAGGACAGCTCCCTTCACGCTTCACCACCACTTTTGGACAGGAGTCTATGCTTACACAGTGTTGGGTGTTGTTTATCTCAAGTGAACTTGAGAGCCTGGCATGGTGGCATGCACCTATAGTCCCAACGACCCTGCAGGTAGAGGTGGGAGGATCACGTGAGCCCAGAAGTTCAAGATCTGCCTAGGCAACATACCCAAACCCCCCTCTCAAAAAAAAAAAAAGTGAACTTGAACTCAGGGCTCAGTATATGAAATTGTTATTTCCTATTATGAGTGAATAAACTACCGCTTACTTTAGCCATTTCCACCAAACCTTGTTTTTTTTTTTGTTTTGTTTTGTTTTTTTTGCAATGTGTAAATATAAACATATGTAACTAAAAGGACAGGAAGAATGTTCTTTAAGGAAAGGTACAAATGTGACTGGAAACCACTCCTCGGGTCTCTGATTGGATTAGTTTTCTCACTGTATGAGATTATTGGTGGGTAGCTATTTAGCTTTTGTGCCCTCAGTGGATGTTTATGCAACCAATTCTTTGCTTAATAAAATAGTTGCATCTCTACTCTGAATGCAAAGAAAAGTAACATACACAGTAAAAGACATCAGCCGGGCGCAGAGGCTCACGCCCTGTAATCCCAACACTTTGGGAGGCGAAGGTGGGCGGATCATGAGGTCAGGAAATTGAGACGATCCTGGCTAACATGGTGAAACCCCAGCTCTACTAAAAGTATGAAAAATTAGCCGGGCGTGGTGTCCGGCCCCTGTAGCCCCAGCTACTCGTGAGGCTGAGGCAGGAGAATGGCGTGAACCAGGGAGGCGGAGCTTGCAGTGAGCCGAGATTGTGCCACTGCACTCCAGCCTGGGTGACAGAGCAAGATTCTGTCTCAAAAAAAAAAAAAAAGACATCCAGTGGTCTTCTAGACTTCTGGATTTTCAAGAACATCTTGGTCATCTTGGTAGTCGTATGTAGACTACCATGTCTTTTCCATTCAAATTAAATCAAAGCATTAAAAAAGACATACTAACAACTTCTTTAACCAGGAGCTTTACCAGAAGAGCTAAGTAATCCAGTTGGTGCGCATGGGCAGACAAAGAGAAGACCAGTGGCCTGTGGTTCCTAAAGTGCTTCTCAGGGGCTACCTGGAAGCGGAGCGGTAATTGGTGGCAGTCGTCAGTGAGCAGGAAGAAGCTGGATACTTGTTGAGAGGGAGATTTTCTCAGCCGAAGCAACACAGCGCTGATCTTTCTGAGCTTGCAAATCGCTTGTTTCACTTCTTCCTTTTCCACTGCACAAAATGCTACTTAAAATCCATTCTGTTGATTTGATTATTTAAACTTTCATGTGCCTAATTTTATTTCTGCTTCTCCAAAAGGTGACAAAGTCCTAGAAGTTGGGAACAATATGAAAGAGCCTGATATAATGTAAAATGTGCTCAGACGAGGCTAAGGTCACCTAGCCTGTCTGCGTTGTGGATATTTTTATGTCAGATTAAGATACCTGATTAATCTCCCTGGCATTTGTGACAGTCAAATGAAATAAACCATATGTAATATAAATACAAGGTACTGTACCTCTTGTGTACAGCAATGCATGTATTTTTACCTAATACTTTCATGATAACTTGCAGAGGCCAGAAGTGACACCAGTGTGTTGATAAATAGATCTTGATGAACTTTTTTCAACTCCTTGTACACACCAAGGTCTTGTGCAGACCCCACTCCCAGTGGCTCTCAAAAGTGAAATCCCTGGACCTGCGGCAGCAGCATCACCTGAGAACTTGTTAGAAATGCAAACTCTTGGGGCGGGCGCAGTGGTTCACCCCATCTATTCCTAGCACTCTTGGGAGGCAGAGGGTTGGCACGGTGGCTGAGCTCAGGAAGTTGGAGGACAGCCTGGGGGCAACGATGGCAAACCGTCCTTCCTAAAAAATACAAAAATAGGCAGGCATGGTGGTTTGCTCTATAGGTCCTGGCTTGCTTGGAGGGGCTGAGATGGAGATTGGCTTGGAGGGCTCAGGAAGTGGAGGCTGCAGTGAGCCAAGATGTGCAACCGACTGCAAACCAGGCCCTGGGTGGACAAAGTTGAGATCCAGTCTCCAAAAAAAAAAAAAAAAAAGGGGTGTGGCGAGGTGGCTTCTCCACCTTGTAGATCGCACAATTCTGGTAGTCCAAGCTGCGTTTTTTTTTTTTAGCGGTGGGGGGATCACAAGGTCAGAAGATCGAGATCCGCTGGTAACACGGTGAAAACACGTCTCTACCAAAAATACAAAAGTTAGCCGGGCGTGGTGGTGCACACCTGTAATCCCAGCTACTTGGGAGGCTGAGGCAGGAGAATTGCTTAAACCCTGGAGGCAGTGGTTGCAGTGAGCCGAGATTGCACCATTGCACTCCATCCTGGGCCACAAAGCAAGACTCCGTCTCAAAAATAAAAAATAAAAAATAAAAAAAAGGAAAAGATCAGATCAGGCCAGGCGCAGTAGCTCTTGCCTGTAATCCCAGCACTTTGGGAGACCGAGGCAGGTGGATCGCCTGAGGTCGGGAGTTCGAGACCAGCCTGACCAAGATGGAGAAACCCCATCTCTACTAAAAATACAAAATTAGCAGGGTGTGGTGACACATGCCTGTAATGCCAGCTACTAGGGAGGCTGAGGCAGGAGAATCGCTTGAACCCAGGAGGTAGAGGTTGCAGTGAGCCAAGATTGCACCATTGCACTCCAGACTGAGCAGCAAGAGCGAAACTCCGTCTCAAAAAAAGAAAAAAAAAAAAAAAAAAAAAAAAAAAAAAAAAAAAAAAACAAGAAAAAGAAAAAGAAATGCAAACTCTTGGACGGCACTGCAGCCCTACTGAAGCAGATCCGCGTTTTAGCAAGCAATGAGGGTCTTAAAGATATGGCCACAAATTATTTGATACTCCTCAAGAGATGGAGCTTAATTCCTCTCCACTTGAATGTGGGTTAGACTTAGCTCATGCTTCTAACAAAGAAGAGTGTGGCCAGAAGTGATGAGATCTCATTTCAGAGACTGGGGTCCTACAAAATACCTGATCAGTACTCCTCAAAACTATCAAGGGCATTCAAAACAAGGAAAGCCTGAGAAACTGTCACAGCCAAGAAGAGCCTAAGGAGATATGACAACTAAATATAATGTACTATCCTGGTTGGGATTCTGGAACAGAAAAAAAGGATATTAGTAATGATAAATGTTTGCGGTGATGGATATGCTAATCATCCTGATTTGACCACTCTACATTGTATGTATCAAAATGTCACTATATACCCCATAAATATGTACAATTATTATGTGTCATTTAAAACATTTTTAAAGGATATTAGAATAGGGAGAGATTTGTTAAAGGATACAAAATTATAGCTATACAGGAAGAATAAGTTCTAGTGTTCTATAGCACTGTAGGGTGACTATAGTTAAAACAATGTATTATATAGTTTCAAATAGTTAGAAGGAGAATATTGAAGTTCCCAACACAAGGAAATGGTAAATGTCTGAGATGATGAATATGCTAATTACCCTGATCTGATCACTGTGTAACCTCATGAATATGTACAATTATTATTTGTCATTTAAAAATATAACTAGAAATTTTAAAAATAGGTCAGACGCGGTGGCTCATGCCTGTAATCCCAACACTTTGGGATGCTGAGGCAGGTGGATCACCTGAGGTCAGGAGTTCGAGACCAGCCTGGCCAACATGGTGAAACCCCGTCCCTACTAAAGATAAAAAAAATTAGCTGGTCATGATGGTGGGTGCCTGTAATCCCAGGTACTTGGGAGGCTGAGGCAGTAGAATCGCTTGAACCCTGGAGGCAGAGGTTGCAGTAAGCCGAGATCGCGCTATTGCACTCTAGCCTGGGCAACAGAGTGACACTCCATCTCAAAAAAAAAAAAGAAAGAAATTTAAAAAATAAGGTAAATATAGGCAATCATTCTAGCTAAAAGGAATAAAATATTCTGAAATAAATGGACAAAGGGATATTAGGTAAAACTAAGGCATTCTGAATAAAGTATAGACTATTGGTTCATGAATTATAGCAAATGTACTGTACTAATGCTCCCTGCCTCCCTACCTCTCTCCCTCCCCCCATCTCTCTCTCTGTCTCTGTCTCTCTCTCTTTCCTATGATCCTCCCCCTGTGGAGCCTTGAGATGACAAAGCTCTAGCCAACACCTTGATTGACACCTCATTGTAATCTTGAGAGAGACCCTGAGTCAGAACCACTCAACTAAGCAGCTCCTGGGCTCCTGACCCCCAGAAATCCTCAGT